CTCCTAAGTTGTCTTCTCCATGGGAAGGCCCATATGACATAGTGGATCGTCTCTCGGACGTGACTTTCCGGGTAAAATGTGGTCGGCGAGGTAAACCAAAAATGGTGCATGCCAACAGGCTTTGGCGTTATCATGGTCCAGGACATTTCAGTTGGGACGAAGTAGACCACAGAACAAATGACGCTGCTGAAGACGTGACACCTGAAGAAGCCACCGTCGAAGAAGAAACTCTACTCAGTTTTGAGAAGGGAAACGGTGAAGCTCTTGATGAAGTTACTACCACAGATGTGACTGTTACCGATGGTAGGACATTTACTGATGAAGCAGATGAACCCCACATGAAGCAGAAGCCAACAAGACGGAGACCAGTACGGAATAAGATACGTCCCGTAAAATTAAGAGACTTTGTTGAATTGTAATTTTGTGTTTGTAATTCTGTACATTTTAATTAAGTTATTGTTATTGGTTTATCATATGTGGTTATTGTTCGGGACGAACAATATTAAGGAGGGGCAGTGTTGCGTCAGCGAGTCACATGACTACTGTGGCGCCCTCTAGTTTCTAGAACTATCTTGTTCCTTCATGGATGCTCTAGTATTTACTAGATTTTGTTTTATATGGAAGCTCTGTTCTGAGACAGTGCATTATTGGCTCTTGTCAAGATCTTAGTAATTTGATTGGACGACTAAGTTGCATTACCAAGGTAGCATTCAAACCCACTTGATCTATTTGCAGTCCTTAAATTTGCATATTCGTTCAGGAGAGTTAAATATTTTTTTTTTATTAGAACCAATATAACTATGCTGAACAACAAGAACAAATAAATCTATAAACAGCATTTGATGTTTTCAGTGAAGGAATACGATCCTTAAATCTAAAAACAAAATCTGTAAACGATAGGTTTTAAAATACATCTCAACTCTATAGTTCATAATAAATGAGTTTTTTTATTCAAAGAACGTTTATCAATATCAGGAAAAGCTATAACTAACGAGTACTTAGGGTAAAACTTTGCTTGTTCAGATAGTTGAGAAATATTCGATCAAGGACATATGTAGGAAAACCATTTTTTAATAAGAATTATTTGATATTATTCAATTTTTTATACAAGAATTCTCAAGCACTTAAACTTTTACATACTTAGGAATTTATCTGACGTGGCAGTCTGGAGGAGGGTTCCATTCATATACATTTTTGGTGTTTTTTTTAGCACTTTTGTTCTTTTCGAAAATAAAATCAAGAATCTACAAGTTTCTTTGACGTATCCCGCTAAAGAAAGTAACACTCCAGGTTGAAGCTCACGACGTCAAATTTGAACATATAAAAATAATTCTTTTTGTAGATATGTATTTGAGTAAATCTGTGTAGCCAACTTTGAGAATCCCTTAATTGCCTTTGATCCCCTATATCGGGGTTTGAGGGGAGAGTGAAATTTAAACATATATATTCTTATTTTAAACTACTTTTTTTTATGAAATATGTAAACCAGTCCTAGGAGTTTTCAAAATCTCTTTGCCATATGAGAGTTTCAGTTTGAAAATTTTGATTCAGATTAATTTTCCAAACTACTCTTAACACGCTAATATCGATTTCTAAGTAACTAGATCAATCAAATCGAACTCCCTAGCTTTCTTGATCCTCTATTGAAAAGACTCCTCAGGACTTTCGAAAGTTTTATCATCGTTTATATTCTGTGGAGTTCAAGACAACATGAAAAATTTGAAGCTGTTTTGTACAAAAGTGTGGTAGGAGTAAACATACATACATAAATAGGTGTAAGTGAGTATGACTACGTAAGTAATTATTGTAGTTACTGTTTCAGGCTGTGTCTTCGAAAGTCCAAGGTTCGACCCGCAATATATAGGCTGAGCAACTCTGTATTGTCATTTATGGGGAAATTATAACTGTGACAGAGATACTAACTGGCGCCCTCTTTCTAATTAGCAGTTATAAAATTAGGATATCTGATGTGTTGCATTTATTATGTTTTTTGTATTCACCATTCATCCCCAACTCTTTACCAACAAGTAGTGGGATTGATCGACACATTATAACGCCCTCGACGGCTGAAAGAATGAGTATGTTCGTTGACTGGATTCAAACTCGCGACCCACAGATTGCGAATTTAGGTCAGACCATAGTAGGCCCCAAACAATTGGGCAGCGATAAGTGGGTTTGCTCTAAAAACAAACAAACACATTTATTTTCTGGTAAACTGAAGTTTATTTTATAGAGCAGTTGATAAATGTTAAATTTGTGTTTCAAAATCTTTGTAAAATTCAATGATTGGTTTTAATATAAAATAACACGAATTCTCAAGTTGAGATAAAGTTAATAAAGACATTAATTGTATTCAACATTAATAAATTTCACATTTGTTAAATTTTAGTACACTCATAACAGACGTGTTTATTTTTTATTTTTTTACAAAAATTAACTTTGTAGGAAATTTAACATTAATTACTAACAAAAGTGTGGTTGCTAAAGATTAAGAAAAAAAAACTGTTTACTTTTTGATTTCTAGTCCTTTAAGAAATTCCAGTTACGAACGAGTTATATATGTTATCACTGTTGGAATATACATTATCAATGTTCCTTCTATTATCACAAAATCTTCTTAACATTGTAATCAATGATATTATTGAGGTGTAAATTACATAAAATTACGTTTAGCTGTAAATTTTCTTTGTTATATTATATTGGAGCATAACTAAATAAACACGTTATTGTTCCATAATTTATTTTTTATTTCATATTATTGATCTTTATATATATATATATTCTTTTGTATCCATTTTTACGTGGTTCCAATACACATGAAACAGAGGAAAGTTTAACTTGAAGAGTTCATACAATACACAAACAAGTTAGTAAAATAAAATTTATATCCAATATCTATCACTCCAGGCAATGTGTGCGTTTATAAAAATTATACCACTGTGCAGATCCTACTATCTTCCCCACTAGGCACTATCCCCTCTTTGCAGTTTTACCCTACATTTGTCTGTTCTCAATCGAAGGTAGGGAGTTGCTGTTAGGCTGCGTTTTCTCTCCTTTAAATGTTGAAGATATTATATTTGTTTTGTTTCTCTTTGGAGAAGTGTGACAGTTGTGTACCGCTTGGTAGCTCTGGGGTAGGACAGATCTTTTTATAATATTTCTGTTCGCTTGTGTAAGTCTTCGATTAACAAATATATATATAAATTCTGTACGAGCGCACTAAAAGGTTTGTTTAACATTAGGATTTGAGGCAGTTAATTAATGATCAGGACCATCAGATGGGGCTAGTGCATCAACACGATTTTCTTTTATAGCTTGCGGTGAAAGGATTTGATTACTGCTATTGGGTGTTAAGCAGCAAAGATGGGCGTGGTTTAGTGGGCATAACTCCTTCAATTTTTGTTTTGAAGTGTAACCAGTGTTGTGGCGCTAAAGGTCCAAAACGTATTTATTGTGGTCGGTCATATAAGCTCTGTTCTCGAAACAGAACTTTTTCCATTGCTATATGGATACGTTTGATAACTTTTAATTTTTTTTTGTTTGGAATTAAGCACAAAGCTACACAATGGGCTATCTGTGCTCTGCCCACCACGGGTATCGAAACCCGGTTTCTAGCGTTGTAGGTCCGCAGACATACAGCAGTGTCACTGGGGGGCTGATCACTCTTAAAACTAATAACAATATTATTTAAGGTATTTCTACTAATATACTTCCCTAACCACAATCTTATTTTGTGTGTGTCTGAGAGAGAAATATTAATACTTTGACTCTTTGTCGCTTCAAAGGGATAGTGTTAGCAACCGTAACATACATTTTATTTATATTTCACGCTTTACTTCTATGTGTTTTCAGAGTCCACAAGACTTCAATTACTCATTGAAGATAAAATTATTTGGGTTTCTGATCTAAAGAGGCTTGTTTCACCATTTTTTTTCAGATTTGCACCCTCGCTTTGTCTTGATATGTGCGTTTCGAGCTTAGCAGTGCAAAGTACCCCCTATGCTCGTGTTTGTATGTTAAACCTCACTTATCAGAATTATAGTGCCCCCAACCCCCCACGAGTCGTCTCTAACTATCCAGAAAAAAAGGAAGGAAGGAGAGAACGTTTACAATGAATACTCACCATTTGTATGTTAAACCTCACTTATCAGAATTATAGTGCCCCCAACCCCCCACGAGTCGTCTCTAACTATCCAGAGAAAGAAGGAATGAAGGAGAGAACGTTTACAATGAATACTCACCATTTATTCAACAAGAAACCTATATGGGGTCTAACAGATTTTAGTGGATTCATTGTGATTTTACGTGGTCAGTTGACATCACGTGTGTGTATTGATATTTTGCCCAGTGAAAATTATGGAGGATTAAAAGAAGTCCCTTAAAAATATTTTTTAAAACCTTTGAATGTGCGGTTGTGTTTTTATCTTCTAGAGAAAGAAGTCCCTTAAAAATATTTGTTAAAACCTTTGAATGTGCTGGTGTGTTTTTATCTTCTATCAAGTTTTCTTTGTCACTTATTTCTATAATTTGTTCTACATAATAAAACGTCATTTCTTATTCTGCTTTTGAGTAGAAGGTTAAGTATGTTATATTAAAATCATTTTGTATATTCAAGCCAGCAAGTCACGTGAAAACCAAAACTGATACAACTTCGTGGACTAGAACGTGTCAGAATTACATGTTAAGATTGTTCGGCGTTTTGTACATAGTGTGATGCCACTAAAAATGGCTTGCTTTTGGGAGGGGCATATAGCTTCCGTCTCCGACGTAAAATATTCATACACGGGTATCATAAACATGTGTTCAGATCAAGTATTTAGAATTTCGAGGATGAGAATATCTTTCGTACTTAATGGTACTGTAAAACAAAGAGATATAGATCGACTTGGGGAATCGGGAAGATCGACAAAGAGACCCGCGATAAGTTGTATCCCAGCAATGGTAAGCAAATTGTGGCATCTCGTAATGGGTGAGAAGTCAATAACACAAAGTTGATTTGTACGAATCTTTTTTTTTCTACAATGAATATAAATAGACTCTTTTATTGCCATTAATTTTTTATTTTATCTATTATTTTTTTACGTACACATAATTTCACATCCACATTTAGGTCCTGACCCAGGTTTGTGTCCTGCTTTTGTTTTAGGATGTATCACCTCCAGTTCCATTACAAGTAATTTCAATGTGTTTGTCTGAGTTCTTTCTCATTAGTCCACTTATCTTGTAGACGGTGATGTTTAATGGTCAGCTACATCAAGGGTTGGGTTAATAGCAATTCGATAAAACCTCCGTGTTCTGGCCAGGGCAATGGCCTGGTGAAAACTGTGCAGTGAGAACTGAGGACCAACCAACTGATGATAAGGAAACTTATCAACTGTCCTTGCCAAGAAGTCAATGGCATCTTCAAGATGATTAGGGCTATAGTTGTGCACTCCTACATTTTAATGTGCCATACCATTATTCACAAGTCTCGTTCATCCAAAAGAAAAAGTAATTATTAATACCCTTACATTAGTCTTAACAATAAAAATATTGAAGGTGGCTTTTATATGCAGAAACTTCTGTTAGCCAAGTTCTTGCACAGATCTTAAAATATAACGGGCTCTAGTTATCTGTTCAAAATGTAAACTAGATTTCGAATTGAAGACAATTAAAACTATTTTTCTAGAAAATGGGTATCAAGAAAAAGTCATCAATCAAATTATTTCAAGGAAAATTGCAAGCTTCTCAACTGCCACAAAATTTGGTCCTATTTACCTAAAACTACCATGGATTGGTAACATTTCAACAAAATTTGAAAAACAACTGAAAACGGCCATTACTAAATGTTTTCCTTCAGTGAACTCCTACTGTGCTTATTCCACACGTAAACTGTTGTCTGCAACACATAAAGATGCGATACCTACCACACAGAAAAGTATGGTTATTTATGAATTCTCGTGCCACTGCGAATGTCTGTACGTAGGTCGCAATTCACAAAGACTGCAGGATTAAACAACATGTACCCACATCCATAAGAAATAAGAGTGTGAAAGAAAATAATTTACCATGTCGCTCCTGTA